AGGTGAGAAAAAGGAGAGCATCCGGAGAGTTTTCTGTACGTGACGGTTACTGATGTTCAGTGTCAACCGGGAATATTGGCCATAATAATGCCAAGCAGCAGTTCAAATCCAGCTCGGTAAACACTGACAAAATGTTCTCTTTATTTTTTGGTTTCGAGTTATCTTTCTGAAGGTTTTGGTCTCCTGATGCATCGTTTACACGAGGGAGACGTTATCATCTTTTCACCTTTACTCATTCCTGGAAACAGAGCCTCGAGGTGCTTGTGAACGCGGGGCGATCCTCGCTCAGTCTGACGAGAGAGGAGAGAGAACTGGGCGAATCCTTCTTTAATAGAATATAACAAATACAATCAAGATGTACCATATTGTAGTTATTTAACTGCTGATTATACATGATTTATGGGGTATAGTTTGAGTATTTTTGTAGTTCCTTTGTTATCACTACTGTTACTATAATAGATTCCTTATTGAAGTTCCTTGTTTTAAAGAAATGCAGCACTCTAAATAAACAAATCCATGACAATCACACCGATAGGAAGCATTAATCCTGTCTGATGGACTCATGTTGGCTCAGCACACACGGCAGAGGTCTCTCCACTGTTACAAGACTGTAACGCTCGTTCAGGCACATCAGAACGTACACTTAACATCTGATTAGGTTAATGCCAAATGGATTTTTAATGAACCCTTCATTTAGAGCATGTGCTGTTGTGGCTGAAACTAAATGAAAGCGGTTAAGCTGTGTATTGTGTACAAGCCAAAGCTTAGATCCTGTTCTTGCTAAAGCCATAAATGCCACTCAGACCCACTTGAACAGCTGATAAACCTCTTTCAGATTCCTCTACATTTCAACTAAAGCAGTCCCAGAGCACCCGGGATCCTGTCGGACATTAAAAAAGGAACCTTCTAGACCATTCAAAAAAACATATTTACTTTTTGTCAAAATTGGAACTTAAACTGTGTGAAAATGTGTAATTGTCTCAGTATTTGTTGATTTAGTTACATAGAACATAAGGAGGTATTAGTCGACTGTATATGAATCTTATTTTCACGGTGGATTGTTTCTGTGATTTATTTTCAAGCAAAAAGCCAAGCATTCTTCTTTAGCAGCTTCTCCAGTGCTGCTGCTTCTCTTAAGTGTTACGGAAATCTGAGTATCTTTGTGTATTGGACAATTGGTCAAAGAAAACCATGATTTAGAAACAGAAAATACCAATATAATGTTGTTTTCTTCATTTGTCTTCTGCCCATCTGTAGGAAGAAGAAAAGAAAATCTGTTGGCGAAAAATAAAACCAACAAATTCATTAAAATAGTTGGATGCAGCCTCAGTCAGATGATCTGAGCTTTTCGTAATGCTATGAAAAAAGACACTGTAGTCAGACATCAAATATTGTTCCCTATACAGTATGTCACTCAGAAAGCTTTAGTCTTTGTCAAGTTCAGAGAATCAGCTGTAAATGTCAAGGTGTGTCACTCGTCCTGTCCCAGTGGCTTCAAAGCTACAGACAAAGCATTGACGATCGCCTCAAATGGTCCTCCTGTAAACTGGACTGATGTTTAGTGACCCTGAAGTCATTTTCTTTTGAATGTAACCCAGCTGAATCTGCTTTCCAAATGAGACCTTATCATATTTCAGTTTATTTCGCCATAAACACTAAACTAAAAGTTCTTCATTCTCATCCCGTCTGTAAATGTTTCCCCTCTTTGTTTTGAATACAGAGATTGCTGTGCAAATGTGAAACTCTAAAAACAATGTTTAGCTGGAAGGTCAAAGTCTGTCCTCCCGTACTGTGCTGATTCAGTTGCTTGTGAACTTTGTAGAAGTGTACTTTATTCCCCTTTCTTCCTTTAAATGACATGGGTTCAATGTCAGTGTCCATGCCTTGGATTGGTAGATGTTTTTAATTGAAATCTCTACCAACCCAATCATTTGCACATCACAAATGATTGATTTCAGAATCTGAATTGCATTTGAGTTATCGAACTGAATATAAACTGGTTCCCCCCCCCCCCCCCCAAAAGGACCCTTTACCTTGAATGTCTTTTAGGGTTCCGTGTAGTTCCACCTGCAGCCACGCGGGGGCGGTACGTCATTTGTTACTGTGCTGACTTCAATGTGTTCTTCTGTCCATTGTAACGATCATTCGCAACTTGCTGTAAAAGCAATTTTTTCAACTTGGTTTGTGTACATTTGAACATGTTAAAGATCATAATAACTGACAATATGCTGCTGCACCACATACTTTTATAATGTTTTCAATAAAATCCACTGAAAACCTGCATGGATTTACCTTGTTTTCTTAAAAATCACAAAGAAGGAAATGTCAGTTTACAGCCGCGTGGCCGAACGTTTAGAGAATAGCTTCAGTGTTATTAGATATTTCTGTCAGATTTTACTATGGTATACTGAAGTATAATTTTAAGCATTTCACACAAGTGTCAAAGGCTTTTATTGACAGTTACATTGTTTTTCTGATTCTGAACGGCTTGTAAAAGGCTTCCTACTAAGTCATGTTTATTTGTGTCTTATAGGGCGTCTGCTATTGAATTAGCATGTGGTTCGTTGGTCTAGGGGTATGATTCTCGCTTAGGGTGCGAGAGGTCCCGGGTTCAAATCCCGGACGAGCCCAACTTTAGGATGAATTCCTCACAGCATTAATTTAGTAAAAAAGCCATATAAATGCAATCGCTCATATCAGAATAGCAGATAATCATCAAATCTTCCATCTCAGACTGATAACCCACCTTTTTATCCTACACCTCTATCAGGGCTGCCAACCCTCACGCATTGAGCGTGAGAGTCACGCAATTAACCCATATCTCACGCACTCACGCCACACATGCCTTTCCTCACGCTAAGTTTTCGTCCAAAATAAATGTATATAAAAATAAAGTGAAGTTACAGCAAACCGAGCGGTCTACGAAATGAGACGGTCTTCTGGCTTAGTTCAGTAAAGTTGGAACGATATTGGGAGACTCGGATCAATAACTCATGAACAAAATGTTATTCAGACACAAATGACGTCTCCTAAGTACCGTGGTAAGGTTGACAACGAACTACAATCACATTTTGATCAAAAAAAGCCAATACGCGCCGTCCTCCAAGCTGGACACATTACATTGGTCTCTATCCGCAGCCGGAGAAGAAACGAGTGCTCAGGGACCGTCTGCAAAGTACAACTCCGAAAAAAGAGAATACAATAATATTCAATCAGCTTATTACTACCAAACTCAGACTCAGAGTGGCGAAGTCACGCCCATCTACTTCCGCCCCATGGGACCTTATTTCTGAAAAATGATGTATTGAAGTCAATGGAGAGAGAAAACTTATCTTTCGATCCCGTTTGAATTGTGCCATGAATTACACATGATGTTTGTCAATCTTAAAAAATAATTTCCATGTCTAAAAAGTCACAGTTTGTCTTAAAACTGTTGAAATATAAGACTATGAAAAATACTAGAAAGACTACAAATCCCAGAATCCCGGTCCCGCATGCTGGCTCTTACAGAACCGACTAACTCCCCTTGTGTGTATGTACAGCTCTCAACGTGCCCAGATTTGTAGTGATTTTCACCTCTTTTAATATTTTTCACTTCATTCTGAAAGAAAGAGGTGAAATGTGCTAATGTGACGGCCGTCTTGCTGTGTCCTGCGAGACGGGAGATGTAATTCATTGAGCACTTCACACAAACAAATGTGTTACTTCACAGTTTTACGACACATTTAGATTTTTTTTGACTTGCAAAATTATCTTTTAAGCTGGAATCCGGTTAACTTCCAGCTCCAAAAAATTGTCGGTCTAGAGGCAAGAGCTTCGGAGCTAAGAGGTGGCGTCGCTTACTTCTCTCTTACGTCGAGGCGTGCAGGAAACTAAACCCACCTCCCCTGAACATGGGTCGACTGTCATGCCTGCCTACAAGCAGTAGTGCTAATTATAAACACACTTTATAAAGTCAGGCAACACTAACCAGGCTTCGTGTGATTCTGTTTATTTGTACCTTACTTTGACCATCCGTTCATTGTTATTGATCATTGTGGAGAGAGGCAGACGTGTTGTTTTGTATTATAGCAGCTATCGGATGGAATCAATACATGGGCTGCACAGGTTGTCGTGTCCGACTATCACAAGTAGAATCATAATAAAAATACGCCGGTAAAATGTGCCTGTAGAAAACGGTTTATGCCACAATAGGATAGCAATAGCAAGTAGTCAGTTTAGCTTCAGTTGCTATGCTAACATCATCACCCATTTTATACCAGAGAAACTTTCATAACAGCGTTGTGATACCAAACAGCGTCAATTCAGACTGACACACATTCACTTAGGCTAAGGGGAACTGGGGATATGTATCAGCTGCTTGTGTGAGTCGGACAGTGAATACTTTAGAGCGGCCGCTGCAGTGTGAGCTAACCGTGAGCTAACGGAGGAGAATAAACTCCCGTGGAAGAGCAGCGGTCGGTAAATGCTGCAGAAACACATTAATAAACAATGAACCACGGCACTCTGGAGCAAAGTATAAGGTTGGAGAAGTCGTTATTCAATTTATTCTGGCTTCGTGTGATTAAAAGCAACACGATCATCGACCCGACGCAGTTCCCCGTTGTTGTTGTTGTTGTTGTTGTTGTGAGCGCCGTAATGCCGTTGGGGAGCAAATCAGCGATGTAAACGGTGACGTCATGACGCAGCAGCGGCAGCACCAGTAGGGCTCAGGGCGGTGTGAACAGAGCGGGAGCAGAAAAGGGAAACCGGAGCTGAACCAGAAAAGCTCTAGCTCGGAGCTAGAAAGGGAAAAGCGCTGGTGTGATGTAAATTAAGTCGTAAATATGTGTAATATGTGTATTTTTTCCCGATAAATCTCATAGTTTAAGAATGGAGGATTTGATGTCATTTCCTTAGTGTCCGACCTTATATATACAGTCTGTGTCCGACACATGAATGATCCCGTTTTCACAAGTGTATGACAGAACGTATGAAATTAGGAGACTAATAATTCCATGATTTGAGCAGTGAAGTCCCACTTCTTCTTTATTGCATAGTTTCACTTTCACCTGAATAATCTTGCATAGCCATTGAACTGTGGTAAACTCCAGGAAGAAAATGGATCTCATCAAGTGATGCATTTAACTCCTTTGTTTTATGACATAAATAGCGCAGTTCGCACACATCTCTGTGTGTAGTGCATTCAATAGTACAGTACACAAATCTTTCTGGACTCCCTGAAGCAGCTGGCGAGTATTGATAAAACAAAAGCATTCATTACAAAAGACCCAAAGCAGTGCATGGAATATACTCAGAGCTAGGAGTGTAAAATGCATAGCACAGGAATCATTTCACAATCAAAATTTAAATTCTAGAAACTTCTCTAGACTGCTTAAATGCTTTATGCCTGGGATCTATAATTGGAAAATGTACAACAGCCTCTTTGGTAAACGACAATAAATACACTTTTAGAGATGGATGTTCTTGTAAAAGGCACGACTGTTAATATCATTTACAAAAATCTATGTGGAATCTGGTCAGACAGCCATTTCGATGCAAAAAGGTGCAAAACAGAGTTATTGTGCCACACATTGACATGTCTTTTCAACAGGGACGTTAAGATCTTTAACTCAAAGCTTAAATACACATTAATAGAAAAACTGCAGTATATCAAATCAGGTATTAAAAAGACACATTTCACACTGACCAATCAGTAACTGGGTAATTAATCTTCAGTAACTTACAGGATACTGGTTAGCAAAACAACAGCTGCCTTTTTTGGGGAAAGACACTCATTCACTCTTAGAAAACACAGTTTAAAATATATTCTGATAGTAGAAAAGCTTTGTTTATATTCCTACGATCGGACCAGTTTGAAGCCCTGCCCGGTGTCCAGTATCGCCGGGGGAAACCAGTTGAGTTTGACTCTCTTGAGACATCGCAGGCAGACGCTGCAGAGCCACAGCACGTTGAGCCCCCCGCACCACAGCGCCAACTGCACCACCGGGTAGGTGACCCGGGGGAAGTACAGGCTCCAGTGGCTGGTGACATCACTTCCTGTGGGCAGGTGCAGCGTGTAGTCGCTCCAGTGTTTGGAGATGCCGTACACAGCAGAGACAGGCCGGCCCCTCTCGGACCACTGGGTGCTGCTGTGGGAGTTGCAGTTATACTCCACCCACTGGGCGGTGAAGTCTCCGAGCTGCGGGGGGTCCTGCAGCTCCACGTCCCTCACTCGGGCCAGCGTCGCTCCCTGCACGGCCACGTACAGACCCTCCACCTTCCTGACCTCCGTCACCCACGGCAGCGAGAAGTCACAGTCGAGCACTAAGATGAGGCGCGAGCAGAAGCTGCCGTTCTTCTCCTTCCACCACTCCAAGATCTGAGCCAGACCCAGAGTGTCCCCTCCTGGAGAGGAAGAGACAGCAGCCAGTTCAATATCACACAGGCACACACAATGAGGCGGATAATAAGATTCTCAGATGATTCAAATACAAATATAGCATGCCTTAAAGACACTCACAAAAAGTCATAAGAATAGTCATATTATTATATGTCATTATAAATATAAGTACAGTATGCCATAACATTTTCTAATATAGTATGTTATAAATATTCACATCATAAAGGCCATACAGATCTTAAGAAACATAGTATGGAATATCATAATATGCAGAAAAAAATAGTTTAAAAGAGTAATTGTATACTAAGTAATACAAATGTAATTTATACATGTAATAGTCACAAAAAAATTATACTATAGTATATTATAACAATGTTGTAAAAGAAAGTTTTAGTATACTATGTTATAAAAATGTAATTTAAAAAAAAAGGTAATAGTATAGTATTTAAAGAAAAAACCATAAGTCATAGTATGCTGGAAAAATGTTGTAAAAGATTCAGAGTATAGTTTGTCTAATAAAAAGGCAAAATCATTATCAATTTCATATAAAAAGTTAAAGTATAGTTTGCTATAATACCTTAATTAAAAAAACTCATTGTCGTATAATTTGTAATTTAAAGAAATGACAGTTCCCTCTCACCTGCCAGCGCCCAATCCCCGGAGCCGTAGCTGTGCCCGCTGTAGAAGATGACGTAGGTGTCGTGGCGCGGCCCGTCTGCTGTGCGCAGCTCCAGGAAGGATTTGATCTTGGCCTGCAGAGCGTCGTGGCTCACCCCGCTGGTGGAATAGTCGCAGCCAAAAGTCTCGATCAGGTGGTGGACGAAGAAGCGTTGCACGTTGTTCAGCATGCCTGTGGAGCGCTGGTTCAACTCCTGAACCTGGCCCGGAGGCAGCAGCATGGGCTGGCCGTCAGGACTGGGGGCGGGGGAGAATAAAACATTAAACACAAGGGTGAAAGGGAATGAATCACGTCTATTTAAATCCTTCAGTCATTCAACACAGGTCAGGGCACGTTTACTGGGTCAAAGCCAACTTAACATTTTTTTTTTTAACTATGGATAAGACAAAGTTAAATGATACATAACATGTATTCTTTACTTTTTTTGTGGATAACTGAACTTGACACTTAAAATAACAGGAATAATGGTTTACAAAATATTAATTTGAAGCAGGAATAATTATGGTTTTTACCTTTTAGAACCGTCATCATCACATTACAATATTACTCGACCGACTAGAAAACTGGGTGGGACTTTCGGAAACAGTTCTAAATTGGTTTGAATCCTACTTAAAGGACAGACAAAACTTTGTTTCTATAGGTAAATACACATCTGAGTTGACAAATATGACATGTGGGGTACCTCAAGGCTCCATCTTGGGGCCTCTTCTCTTTAACATCTACATGCTACCACTGGCTCAGGTAATGAAGAACAACAAAATAAGATACCATAGCTATGCAGATCAATCAATCAATCAATGTTTATTTATATAGCCCAATATCACAAATGTTACATTTGTCTCAGTGGACTTCACAGTTTGTACAAAATATCAAACTGTATGACAATACGATACGATGCAGATGACACACAAATGTACGTAACCATTTCACCAGGAGACTATGCTCCAATTCAAACACTGAGTAAGTGCATTGAAAAAAATCAATGACTGGGTGTGTCAGAACTTTCTCCAATTAAACAAAGATAAAACTGAGGTAATGGTTTTTGGAGCCAAGGCAGAACGTATAAAAGTTAGCGCTGAGCTTCAGCCTGCAATGTTCAAAACAACAGATAAAGCCAGAAATCTAGGTGTAGTCATGGACTCTGACCTGAGTTTCAACAGTCACATTAAAACAGTTACTAAATCAGCCTACTATCACCTAAAGAATATATCTAGGATTAAAAGACTAATGTCACAGCAGGATTTGGAAAAACTTGTCCATGCTTTTATCTTCAGTAGACTCGACTACTGTAATGGTGTCTTCACGGGTCTCACTAAAAAATCTATTAGAAAGCTGCAGCTGATTCAGAACGCCGCTGCTCGAGTCCTCACTAACACTAAGAAAGTGGATCACATCACTCCAGTTCTGAAGTCTTTACACTGGCTTCCTGTGTGTCAAAGAATAGATTTCAAAATACTGCTGCTGGTTTATTAAGCACTGAATGGTTTAGGCCCAAAATACATGTCTGACCTCCTGCTAAATTATGAACTATCCAGATCTCTCAGGTCTTCAGGGACTGGTGAGCTTTCTGTCCCCAGAGTCAGAACTAAACATGGTAAAGCAGCGTTCAGTTTAGGGGTGCAACAACTAATCGACTTAATCGATTACCAAATTAGTTGCCAACTAATTCAGTCGTCGATTCGTTGGTGACGTCATCACGTGTGTTTTAACGCGCTGTTAAGCTCCAACGTTATCGGTCTTTTTATCGGTACCGGAGACATTTAAAAAATATGTCATGTATTATTGCTACAAAAACATTATATCACAGTCTTAGTGTCGCCAACTCGTTTCTAAAATGCAAAAAGACAAAAATATGCGTCTATGGTGTATTTTCGATCTTTCCAATCCAGACGAGATCTCTCTCTCCTCCGTCTGTGTGCGAGGGGGCGGGGCAGTTTGCACACACACGTCTGCTACATGCAGCAACCGGCAGCAACACACGGAGGAGATGGCGGAGAGAACGCGCTCCAAGGTGTGGTTAAATGTTACCCGTCTCGATGTGGACAATGCTCGTTGCCAAAAGTGCAATAAGAGTTTAGCATGTAAGGGCGGTAACACGAGCAATGTGTCTAAACATTTAGCAAAAGTGCTCCACATTCAGACGGAGGAATGCACCGGGTTCGACCGTCTTTCTAGTAGCTCTGTAGCCCCATCCACGAGCAACGTTTCCACGTCAGGTGTTATGTATGCTAGCAGCAACACACGGAGTTAACTCAATTATACAAACATGGGTTAATGATTAGAGGTAACAGAGTTATTTATTTTGTTAAAGTTTCAGCTATTCTGTTTACAATTCTGTCATCAGATTATTTAATACGATTTGTTAAAACATTGTTGTTTCTTTTGATGTGAAATATTATTTATTTTATTTAAATAAAAAGCAATGTTAATTTTGTTCACAATTTAAGTTATTTCAATAACATATGTATTTTTGAATCAAGTATTCATCTTTATTGTCTTCATTGTTAGTTTCCACATGCCTAAAACAACCTCAAGCTAAATCTAAAAGTTGATGGCTAAATAAGAGCCTTTGAGAAATTGTGCAAGGCATAACAGTCCGAATAGTCGATTAATCGTTTCATTCATCGATAGATTAATCGATTATCAAATTAGTCGTTTGTTGCAGCCCTAGTTCAGTTGTTATGCTCCAAATACTGGAACAAACTCCCAGAAACCTGCAGGTCCGCTGCAACTCTGACTACTTTTAAATCCAGACTAAAGACTTTTCTTTTTGCCACTGCTTTTAATTGAACTATTCATATCTTAGACTGCACTGTAACTTGTATCCATGTACTTTTTTCTTTTAATGTTTATTTGATTATCTTTTCTTTTTAATGACTGATTTTAAATGCCATTTTCTTAATGTCTTTCGTTTTTTGTAAAGCACTTTGAATTGCCTTGTGTTGAAAGGTGCTATATAAATAAACTTGCCTTGCCTATTGTCCAATTCCCTAGTAGGACAATAAAGTCAAATATCAGCATTTTGATAGTTTCCCACTCTCCCAGCAGTTATGGTCCACACTACCTGCAGTAGTTGGTGGGGATGACCACTGCGTAGCCCACACACGTTCCTCCCAGGCTGCTCCCCAACTCGTGGAAAAGGCCGTGGAACAGAGACTCCAGCGGCAGGACGAGCAGGAACACGCTCACAAAGACACTGCTGGAGGCCTGCAGAGCACAGGAGGAGATTACATACCGGCATATACTGCACTGACAACAGTATGATGTCTGAAGGCAAATGCTGTGGAAACAGTTGTAACAAATATCTGCTTCTGCATGAATTGTGCAACATTCACGCAAAATATAACTACCACTCAAATCAAAATATAGAGGAAACTGAGCAATTCACTGTGTCAATACGATGAAACGTAAATGTAAGAGCATAGGTGAATGCAACCAGTGATGATGGATCCCAGTTAAATAAGTTAAAGTTTGGTAACGGTTGTATAAGAAAAAAAAACAATGATCTTCTTTAATTCTACATGGACAAAACATTTTGAACAAATTGTTCTCCTCAGCTCTCCTAATGTTATTTGTGTCTAAAGTCTTCTTGTGTGGTATTGATCTATAAAAGTATAAGATCTATGTTGTCTGCTGCACCTACCTGCCAACAAAAAGCCGCAACAGCCACAGTCGACACCAGAGATAAGAGCACCAGGCGTTCAGAGATCAGGCAGAAATGTCTCATGCCTTTAGAGGCCATCACTTTGTCCAGGCTGCTGACCCCTGACCCCTGGGACAAGCACATCCTCTGGCATTCACTGAGCTTGGTGTGAAAGCCCCACACTGTGATGACAAACACCATGTGGCAGATGGCCCAGAAGAGCACACAGACCACAAAGCCCGGGATCACCAGGTACCACTGGTCCACGTGTCTCATCTTCCGAGCGGCCAGAATGATGAAGGTCACCTCCACCCCCAGCAGAGGCAGCAGGGACAGCCGGCGCCACAGACCCCGCCACACCAGGAAAGGCTGCCATCGCTCGGTGACAGACAGCCCGCTGAAGTACACATCCAGCAGGGGGTCGCAGATCAGCTGGCTGAAGAAGCAGGTGAGGGCGAAAGGGTTGATGGTGATGCTCAGAGACTCGAAGAACAGCAAGGCGGTGATGACAGCGAAGCAGATCAAGTTGGGAAGAGCCAGCAGAGCCTTCATCCGGAGGGCGATCATGACTGTGGCCAGCGCGACCACCAGCACCATCACACTCAGGGACTTCTGGGCGAGCAGCGCCATGCTGGCGATGGCAAAGCCCAGCAGCTCCAGCCTCTCTGCCGAGGTGAGGAAGGCGGGACGGTACCTGGTGCATCCGAAGAGCCTCTCCAGCAGCGCCCACAACGTCCTCAGACCCACGCTGGCCAGCAGCAGGTAGTTGGCCACCTGCTCCTTCATGTCGCTCTGCACCCCGGGGCTGTTGAGGAAACACTGCAGCCCCAGCAGGAACCCGAACCACAGGTGGATGAGACTGAGGCTCACCCTCTCCATGTTGAAGTAGTAGTACACCACACTCGCTATTCCGAGGACAACCAGAGCCAAAACGAAGATGACAAGGAAGGTGGTGTCCGCGGTCCTCTCCCACCGGGCGTAGAGCCCCAGACTCAGCGCGAGCAGCAGGTTGAGCCCGGACAGGTAGCCCAGCCACCGGACAGATGACCACATGCTCACCTCTCCATTGACCTCCTCCAGCCGGGTCATCGCTGCATGGAGACAGTGGCTGACCCAGTAGCGTAGGAAACGAAACATTTTGATATGAAAGGCTAATTAACCGAAGCTAAAAACAGGCACAGTAATGAGCGGGATTACTAACCGTTATGACATTACGTTACGATGCCAAACTAAGTTCGGCTAACTAGCTAACAACCGTTAGCTACGACCGAAGCATCTTTGCACAAAGTGACGCTAAGCAGGCAGAAATATTCACATCTTGACTGTCGTGTTGTTTTTTCTGTTGTGTTCCTTTGATCTCTTGTCCGACTCAGTTTATAAAGGTGTGATATGAAGCGAACCGAAAGTAGCTGTCAGTAAAGTTGATGTAAAAGTTTGTCATGTCAAAAGTTTTGAGATGACAGGCGCCATGACGCTAGCATCGACTACGGCAAGCGATAAGGATTAAAAGTGTTTCGCCAACGTTAAAGGGCCAAGCCCCGTTCATAAAAAGTATACATTATAACCAGGGGTGCACATAACTTTTTTGCCCTGGTTCTCAAAGGAGCACCTGGAGATGTTGCTTGGTGCTCATCCTTAAAATTAAATAAACCGTAACTTTTGAGGGGGTCTTGACTTTATTTGCCAGACACACGGCACTGAACACACATGCAGAGGTGAACACAAGACAACATTAGCACGACCAGTAATCCTACAAGCTGTCATCACTACCCTCCTGACTGTTCTCCTCACTGTCTTCCTCTCTGTCAGACATGGTAGCTGATGATGTAGGCCTACTTCTTTCTCTCTGGTTGAGTCTGCGATTAGCTGCTTGCATCCACAAGTCAACAGCTGGGTTTGGGTCGAAAGTCTCTGTTGTCATCTTAGACAAGTGGATGTAATCAAATAAGTATGTGAACATAACCAATAGCCTACCATAGCCAATAACAAATTAATGTAACTTATTTTATTTGTGTTGTTCATTCATATCTTATTTTACCTTAACATTTATTTATTTATGCATTTTTTTTTATCTCTCCAGTTTTAAAGGATATTTTTGGTTACTGTCCTATAGTATACATTGGAATGATTTAAAACCTGTTTATCCCAATAATTATAAAGGAGTGCCTTGGAAATATGTGTTTACATAAATTGTGACCAAACCGTTTGAATTTAGACTAAGAGTCCTTTACCTCACTGAGCTGTAGTTAACTTATCAGCCTCTCAGTCTGACTGGAGAGGACTCTCCCTCCACATTATTGTAGAAACATCTTCTTCTTATCTCCGTTAGAGCAGCTAGCACGGCACCAGATTATAATAACAACAGCGCTGGTACCACCCTCTCTCCCTCGCTCACTCGCATTTTGTCTGTGAGCTGCGGGCGCCAAATAAGCCAACATCCCCCATTTTCATCACTTACAGCGCCCATCGTACAGGGCAAATTAAAGGTGGAACCGGGGTGAAAAGGGTGTTACATTTACTTAATTGTGAATATTGTTATATCAAGGGCGAAAATTAGGATGAGCCCCAACGGTCAAAATGTTTTTTTCCCTCCCAGAACTGCAAGCGCAGCACCTCCCCAGATCTGGCGCCCTAGGCCCTGAGTTCATATCATGGTTCATATGCAACTCGCAAATATCTTTCTCTCTCTCTCTTCCTCACCTCTCCTCTCTCCTCTATTTTCTCTTTTCTCTTATCTCTCTCCCTCAATGTTGGTACGCAAATGCGCTTTGTTTCAAATAACCCGGTGCTCTTTTTTTGGCGGAGGTACGCATGCGCACCTGCGCACCAGTTATGTGCAGCCCTGATTATAACCTGATTATAACGTTAGTTTGGTGAACGACAGAAAAGTATCAACTGAAAATTAATATATGCATAACTTTCTTTTTTCACATCTTCCCAATCTCTCAGTTTAATTGTAGCTTATAAAACACAGATCTTATAAAGTTGTAAATTAAAATCTCTGAAATGCAACATTACTTTTCTTTAAAAATAAATATTTGTATTTTCGCATTTAAAAAAATCGGTTTTTTATTTCATATTTTGTTCAGTAAAATATTATAGTGATATGTTTTTATATTAGTGGAAGTGTCCACAGTAAAACTTAACTACAACCTTAGAATTAAGTTACTGTTACCGTTTTTGATTTGACAATATTATATTGAGTTATTCCGGTTTTATCCGAGTTATATTTTTGCAGTTCAGCAGATCTCGCCTTTCACTGCCACCTCGGTTTTGAGCTTTATATATACAGTCTATGGTTTTGAGGTACTGGAGGATCTGCATTCTGATTGGCTAAAGCACAATAAAAACTCTGTGTAACGATTGGCTTGGAACTTTTGTGTTGTTAACCCTTTGTGAACTTTTTAAAAAAAAAAACACATTATAAATTATATTTTACAAAAAGGGCCCTTCTTTTATAGTATGCCAAAGGGCAGGTGCTCAAGCTCCCTTTAAGGTCTATCTGTGCACTGCTTGGTTACTGAATTCACGGACAAATATTGTCAAAAGACCTCGCTGCTCGATCTCCGGATTCACAACTGACTCCACATAACTTTATAAGCAGCACACGGAGTTGACACATGTATGTTTAGAAGTCAAAAGTACAAAACACACAACTCACCAGAGACATTTACATTCATTTATAAAAGAGAAATACAACCATAATATAAGCACACATTGTTCGGCATTGTTGATAATGAAGATGAAACAAATCATGCAAATGGACCAACAGAAAAACTGGAAGACAAATGCACCAATTGATCACAAAACTTCAAAGTCTGAATGTGTGTGGTAATGTGAACCGTTATTATTTCCTGTTAAAACAAAGAACATATCAGCAGAGAGATGTGGATTAACTGGAAAACGATATGCAAATGCAAACAACACACTGCATTACATCAACACTGAACTCGTTTCTTGCTATCCATGAATATGACAAAGGAGAATCGGATAGTTTCCGTGTTCCGTTTGGCCAAAGAAGCTGGATATGTGTTTGTTTGAAAAAGGTATGATTTTCATTTTCTCGAGGGGCACAAAAGTCTGCTCGCAACAAACAGTAAATGGGAACAAAGAAGGCACCTTCGACTTACTGGTATTATTATTTTTGGGCCCATCTTGTTGTCATCAAAGGAAAATAACTACATTTTGTGACACCCTTTGGGATCCATGATAAAGTGCCACTGACAATAACACATCCACTTAGACTCATTTCCTTCATTCACACCGACACACATCTCACCCATCCACAGACAGGCGGGAACACACACTAACATTATATCAGGTAGTGTCTTTAGCTAAAATCTCCCCCGTCTGTCGGACACAGCATCTTCAGATTTCGCTTGCTATTGCTAACTACTACAGTTTATCACCTGGTTCTGTATGTTAAAACAGAAAATTAGTGCAAATCTCTTCTGTCAAGGAGAATTGTCTGTGAGGAACTCAGATCTGGATCTTTTTGGAGGCAGAGTATTTACTATAGTTTCACATCAAAATTACAAAACGGTGTCAAAGGATACAGGAGCTTTAAAGTCCATTTGACTTGCAGTACTATTTCTCTGCTGGAGAACAAACATGTAACGGAAATCTAACAGGAGATAATATCTAATATTTGAGAGGACATCGAGAAGAGGAACAATAAAAGTCTAATACCTACTTCGAAACAATCGTACCTTGTTACACATTGAGTAAACACAGTTACAGTTTCACATTAGTAAACCTAGTAATACTCTACCATATGGTTCTGAGAAATGTTTAGAATGCTACGAATACCACTTCCTTGTAAAAGATACACAATTCATTTAGAGGATGCCAAGTTCAAATTGCATTGTGACACTTTACACCGGACAACACCAATGTTTTGACTTAAGAATATAGAGATACGTTTTAAAACGTTTAACATTTTTTTTTTTTTTTTTCTTGGAAAACTAAATGAACATCAAGAATTTTTCAGAAAGTCTAACTGCATATGACTGTGACAGAAGCAAGCGTACCAGTCCAGTCATTAAATCTCTCCAGTGCAACCAAACTCCTGTCAGACTGCTGGGGTCACTTTTATTCCTCTGCACTGAGCAGCCTACCACACTAGCTTATTCAAATAGAGACCGAGTATTTGTTAGTGAAAGCTGATTGATAGATGGTATGTAAATCAAGGAGCTTAGACATCTCTAGGGCATTCACTGTCCAACTCTTTAAAAAACCTAGATTTTTACCAAAATATATCCATCTTAGTGTGTGTGTTTGTATTCGTTTACATGTGCGTGTATGTGTGTGTGTACTCTCAGAGGAGTGTGGATATGATAAAATAATCTGTAAACTTCTCTCTTTTACACTGTGCAAACTGCATTGTCTTTAGGAGAGGGAGGGGGACGTGGGAGAAGATTGCAGCAGGTTAACATTTGGCAGCGCAGCAGTTGGAGGGGAGGTGACAGAAGAGGAAAGGAGAAAGGTGGAGGCAGGGTAGCTGGTTTTAGCCGCCTAGCTCTGAAGCAGGATGGGGTCTTCTAGCTCATGGAAGCCAGGCAGCGAGCCGCTCTGACTCTCCCCAGAATCCGAGTCATAGGGCGTGTCGGGGAGCTCCGTGAAGCCCCACGCCACCTGGTCGTCCTCAAACTCGGAGCGCGCCTGCACCGGCACGTCGGCACACTCCTCCTCCTCCTCGTTGGAGTGGAAGTCCTGAGGGATGTAGAGCATCTCCGGGTAGTTGCGTGACACCAAATCGCTGGTGGTGGCCACACACACCTTACGGAAGGCGATGAGATGCATGTGGGAATACTTGATGTATTTGTAGCGCTTGAAGCCCAGCGACTCCACCGCCACGCGCCAGCTCCGCATCATGAGGGCGTGGCGGTTCTGGTGGGAGGAGTCGGGGGTGATGATGAGCAGCAGGCCGTGCAGCTCCAGCAGCTCGTGGGCTTTCTTACAGCAGAGCCAGCGCTGGTAAGGGGAGGGGAAGTAGGACAGGAGCAGGGAGAAGACCACCACGTGGAACAGCTGGGCGGGCAGCGTGTCGATGGGGTTGTGGAGCTGGCGGAGGAAGGCCTCCACCGCGTCGCTCGCCAGCTGGAGGGGCTGCTGGAGCTGGAGGTTGAGGAAGTCGCATTTGTACACACTCTGAAGGAGAAGAAACAAAAATGTCAGCACTTTTAATACTAATGTAATTGCTTTAATATGTTCACTTGCTTTTTTTAAATGCTGATACTTATGACATTTTTACCCTGGTTGTCTATTTCTTCATTTTATTTTATTATTGTGTGCCGGCCCTCTTTATTTACTTGATTTTAGTTGTGCCGTTTATGTACATGTACACAAGTAAGTGCGAATGTGTGTACAGTATATGAACAGGGGTATGCAAGTGTGTTTAATCGATATTTGAGAAATCCTCTCTCTGTTTGCTCGATATACAATGCTTTGTAATCAGCTCTAATTTTAACACTAAATATATTACTGCTTAGATTTTTGTTTTCCTTTTCTGTA